ATGTCTGTGGCTTGGGAGGAATGAAAAGTGATGAAGGAGAGCCTGACTGGGAACTCCTCTCCATGTGCACTCCTGGACAACCCAGTTTTTGCACATTCTGTGCAGAGGACACGTGCTGCACTGTGATTTGTGTGCTCTGCTGTGCCCTGAGGGCTTTAAGCAGGTGGTCTGAAACCCACCTGAGCTTTGCAGTCGAATGCAGATTGCTTCTTTGTTCTCTGACGTTTGTCCAAAGTCCTTGCAGGGTGGACCTTCCCAAAGCATCCTTTCTGGAGATCCCAATGATGCTGTTACACTGCTTCAGTAATTACTTCCTTCCCTAAGCTCTGTGTGGAAATCTCAGTTTTAGAAGGAGCACAGGAGATGATGCATGGTTTTCTTGTAGCTATTCTTCCACATGAATGCTTTCCATAAGATGAAAGACTGCCATGAGTCCTCACATTATCGTGTACAGTCCAGGGCTGCCCTTCATTCCTAGCAATTTGAGACCACCATGAAAAAGGTCTTGTGGAGGCTGAGGCTGGGATGCAGGTAACAGTGGCTCTGAAGATGGGAATGAGTTTTCTTCCACAGGGAGCTATTGTGTGGGCAGCCCCAGAGCTGCCAATATTCTGTGCACATCCGCGCTGGTGAAGATTCTAAAATACATCCATTTGTCAGACCTGTATCACTCAGGTTGGCTATGGGGAAGTTATACACCCAGAAGAAGGGAATACAAGGAAAGAGAGAAAAGCGTAGTAAATGGGGAACTTAGCATTGAGAATGGGGGGGCACTTTCTACCATAGTAGTGTTTGGAAATGCAGGAGACATCAAAACAGCCATACATGATGGAGACTCCGTCACAGCTGAGAATGCTGTCAGTTGCTGCAGAGATGGAGGATCTCACAGAGGTGTTCTGTAGGTATGCGCTGTGCATGAGGCTAAGCAGGGCTGCAATCATGGCAAGGGTTTTAATGATGATGGTATGGTATTTACCATGCCTTACACAGGGTTACTTGCAGCTGTTGGCTGGTGAGGTCATACCATAGGATGGGTATGGCAGACCCTGGTCATAGCAGGGCATGTCTCAGAAGGGTAAGAGGGTTTCTTGGCTTCATCCAGAGAGTATGCTTCTTTTATTAAGATGTTGGCTCTGCACTGCCCTTGGCCTGGAGAGGGCATTCACAGGACTCACCATTCTCTGTAGCTCATGCAATGAATGGAAAGCATCCCAGCTAATGATACGGGCTGTGTGGCTGTTTCCACTTATGCTGCCTTTTCATTTTCTGGACTCTGTTACACCCATTCCCTCACAGAAGCTTCTTCCGAGTGTTAGGATTGAGAGGCCCCAGGATTTCTAGGCCAGGTATGAGACAGAGAGAAAAAGTCAGGAACAAGAAAAAATCTGTACTTCAGAGACTGTAATTTGTAGCTCACTTCCAGGAAGGGTCATGAAGAATGGCAGAATGAATGCCTGGAGGAGGATGGAAAAATCTTTCTATACCTGTGTCTGTGGAACAAGTGCAAGAGAGAGGAGATGGAGAGAGATTGATACCAGCAGTGATCAGCACAGGCCATGAGAACACCACGTAAGCCAGGAAAAGACATCCTGTTTGAAGTCTGCTGCTGCTCTTATTGAGCATTAAGACCTCACTCTGGCATCATCTCCTTCTGAATGCATGGCCATGCAGGGCCATGGCAAAGGAGAACAGGACTTTTTGGATTGAATGCATTCTCCTGGGCTAAACAGACCATCCCAGGTGTCACATGCTCCTGTTATTTGTAGTCCATGCCTCTCCTACCCCTGGCCTCACCTTTGTCACAGCAGAGAGTGATCAGTACCTGTGGATCTCAACATGGTCCTTGTTGCCTGGCTACAGGCTGGGTACCAGGAATATCACTGTCAGTTTCTACTGGGATGATGGACCTCTTCTGGGGCTGGCCTGTGGGGATCCCGTCAGGGATTATGGTTCCTATTGTCATCATCATCCTCATGCTGTGCTTTTCATGATAGTTTCCTACATCTGCATCACCTCCAGAGTTCTCTCTATTCCCTCTAATTTCACTCACCAGAGGGCATTCTTCGCCTGTCCCTCCCATCTCAGCATGGATTCCTTTCATCAGAAGTCAAGGCCAGATCCAAACACAGCCTACCAGGAAGCTCCATCCCTTGAATGCACTGGACCTTCAAGGAGCCTGGCAGGGCAGGAGGAGAGCAGTAGGTTGGGCCATAGGGACATATCACTTGCTATACAGCGAGGAGAGGACAGTGCTATAGTGTAGAGAACCCTGGCCAGGGACCAGGTCAGAGCTATTGTTTATGGCTACAGTGGGCTTTGTTGGGCTCAGTTCTGATGCTTTGTCTTGTGATCCCACCTGAGCCAACACAGCCTGGCAAAAACACTGGCCTGAGAACAGGTGCTGCCATCCTGATAACATGTAGAAGTTATTCTCCTTGCATTGCTGTGCTGCTGGCATTACACAGAATCTGCATGAAAGAAAAGCCCCCAGAAAAAAAGATCCTCAGGGTGTGCTGATGCATGAAGAGACAGGTGTGTGTTTGGGGAGCAGTGAGACTGCATGGAGAACAGGGGCTATTTCATCCATGGTGCACAGGGAATATGAAGGGATCTTGGTGCCTTGGGGAAGACACCCCAGTGTGAGTCCAGTGTTTGGGCTGTGCATGCCCTGCGTGACTATTGGAAGTATAGTGATCCTGCTGAGTGCAGAAACATGTCACACTCTCAATGCCATGTCCCAGTTGAGTAGGAGATACCTGCTCTCGCACGGAGTCTTCAGTGGAGAAGCATAGGATTGAGGCACTATGAAGGCCTTTCAGTTCCTGAGCCTGAGTAGAACTGTTCTATGCTTGGGGAAGACATGACACCACCGAGAAGCCACGAGTGTTTGGGCATCCTGGGCTTTCCTGCACCCATGGGAGTGTTGAGTTCAGAGGGACTGGGGGCTCCAATATATGGCCTTCTGTAGCTGGTAGTAATAATGCCCTGTGAAAGTACTCAACCATAGGCAACTTAGCAAAATTATGGCAGGGCCAGGAACTCTGCAGAAAGGCTGCTAGAACCACTCAGAGAACCTGTACCCTCAGTGATGGGCGAGTGGAAGGGATGGGAAAGTAGAATAGAGACAGAAGGCCAACCCCAAGGAAACTATGCCTTCCCAGCTCTTGAAGGCCTTTGAGAACACCTTTCTCTGAGTCTCCTTCCCCAGCACTGCTCATCCCAAAGCCAGAGGAAAAGATTTCCCCAGGCTTTGTGGGACTTGTGTCTTCTGTGGGCCTTCCCGGTGCACAGAGAACCTCTCCTGAAGATTTAATGTATCCTGATTTCCATTCACATGACATGCTCAAAGACTGAGGAGAAACACATCAAGGCTGGGATGGATGGTCATTGGTGGTAGCTGAAGAGCTAGGAATGTCTTCCTCTCCTTCAAGAGAGTGTGCTTGAGAAATGAATGTCAGCATTATGCATTGACCTCCAATAACCTGAGTGATGGAGTCTCCCTAGCTTTCGTTCTCACCAAAGACATCCCCATCTCCTTTGGCAATCTCTACATTTGTGGGGAAAAAATACACCAAAACAGAAGGAAACACTAAGGGATGCAGCAGTGTTTAATGAGTCTGAGGAGAGAAATGATGTCGCCCAAATCAGAGCGCTGTGTGCGGTGAGCAGCAGAAACAGACAAGAATCTGTTCTGCTTTCCTATTGCAGCATTTCCACAGAACCCTGACTCCCAGCCCAGAATTTTAGGGAGGTGAATAGATCACTCAGGGCTCATTTTGGAGGGTACTAACTGAGATCTCTACAGGGAAAACATGAAAATTATATTAGATAGAAAGAGTGACCAACAAAGAATGTCAGTGGACTCTCTCCATGGTAACAGAGATGTCAAACTGTCCACTACGTGTTTGCCTTGCATGGCAAAAACAGCAACACATTCCTTTTTCTGACCAATGCCATGTTCAGCATTCCCGGGGGCCCTTGTCTGGGGCCCCGTCCAGCACCTTTAGCAGGGGGGGCACCTTCTGCCACAGTAGCGGTTGGAAATGCAGGAGAGGTCCAAGCCCCCCGAGGTGATGGGCACGCCCTCAGAGCTGAGGATGCTGCCAACAGCAGCGGAGGTGGAGGAGCCCACGACGGTGTTCTGCGGGAAGGAGCTGAGGATGGGTCCGGGAAGGGTCACCACCACGGGAGAGGGCTGGATGACAATGGTGGAGTTCTGGCACTGCCTGACACAGGGCTCATTGCAGCTGCTGGCCAGAGGGGTCGGGCCGCAGGGCCAGCATGGCTGGCACTGGTCACAGCAGGACATGTCTCAGGAATGGAGGTGCACCTGTTTGGGGAGAGCAGGAAGGAAGCAGGACATGGGGATGCATGAGGAGCAGCCAAACATCACACTACTAGGGAATCCATGTACATGCAGTGCTGGCAGTTGAAAACAGTTCAGGGATGTCCAAGGGATTCTTGGTCTCGTCCTGACAGAGCCCAGTGAAAGACACTGAGACCTATGCAGCTACTGCCTTGACATTAGCCTACATGCCATCTCCTTACAGGCCTACCCTCCTCCCGTGACAAACATTCTCCCCACTTCCCTCTCTCATGATAAGCAGAGTCAGGCACGGAATAGAGCTAATAGCAGCTGAGAGTTCCACTGAGCTCAGAACTCTGTTTGGAGAATGAAGAGAACAAGAAGGAGCTTCACACTCACCTGATTCCCCAGATGAAGGAGGCAAGAGAAGTGGATGAGAGAGTAAGGAGATGGGCTGTCTTTTATAGTGGACTCAAGCTGCTCCATTTCCACAGTCATCCCTTGCAGCAGTGGTTATTTTATGACAAGAACCTCTTGCATGCAAAACATCCCATTGGTATGGGCTATTGGTATGGTGTGTTGGTTTCCTGTGCTGCTACTTGTCACATCCTGATTTATGTCACTTCCATTACTCCTGGAAGGCATCTGTTGAGTGGCAGGAAGAAAAACCCAAGTGTTTAGAGGCAGCACACATCAGTGTGGGCAGAACACTCAGTTCACGTGCTGGAAGAATCCAGCAAAGGCAATGGATATCAGCATGCTTAGTAGGCCATCATTATGAATAACTAGAGCATGTGTGCTGGATTTATGCAGTTGCCTGTGGGTATAGAGGTTTGCATGATTCCATATGTGTGTGCATGAGGAGGTGAGTGTTTGCGTGACTTGTGTGTTCCACGGAGAAATACCTGTTCTGGTCACATCAGGCGCACTTCAGAATTCCAATAGATTCTGTTAATCTCTGTCTTCATGCTAACAGAGCTAATAGAGAGGAGAGGAACTGAAAGGCATCGTCACATATCATGAGATTCAACAGTCTAACATCATTAGTGCTAACCACAAGGAAAAGCATATTAATGAAAGCATTATCAAAATGTTTCTCAACGCTGATGGGCATGTGGCATCATTCACATCTCTGGGAAGCTTGATCCAGTGTTTGACCACCCTCATGTTAAACTATTTTTTTCCTAGTGATACCAGTTGTGGCAATATTGTTCAGCCTGCTAACGCTCCTTAATGGATACCCTGGAGTTTGTTTAGATAACAGTCCTAATCTGTGCCTCTGTACCAACCAGATAATGATGATATACTGAACTGCTTGTGTTGAGTAGACAAGGGAAGTTCTGCTTTGAATCAGCTCATTTTTTGTAAGCAAGTATTGTGTAAGAAAGGCCAAGAGCTATCTGAGCATTGATAAATATGGGGTTCAAACAGCGAACACAGGCAGAAAGAGTACTGACTTCACCCAGAGGATTGTGGACCACCACCACAGAAAAACTGAACTTTTGGAAGGAGGAAGTATCATATGTTAATGATTTTATGGGGAAGTATGGAATGTCTCTATACTGTATGGGAGAACATTTGCATATGTAACATAAGTAATTAATATAAACTGAGGATATTTTGTTCAACATATGCATGATAGGTGGAGTTAATCCACCATGCATCCAGCACCAAAAATAAAGAATTTCTGCTTTCTAACACTCCAATTTGAATCTTAAGGTGCTTCATGATTGAACAACATACAGTATCACTACAATCTGGCCTGAAAATCTCCTGGAGCAGTTTTGTCCCATTCCCTCAGATGTCCTGTCATCAGATATTAGGGAGACCGGCACCTCCCTTGCTGCTTTCCATCTTTGGGAAGTTGTAGAGAGCAATGAGGCCGCCTGTAAGCTTTGTGTTCTCCAAACTGGACAACCCACATGTCCTCAGGCTCTCCTCACAGGATATGCCTTCCAGCCCCACTATTGGCTCTGCTGCCTTCCTCTTCTGGACCCTTTAAACACCTTAACAAACTTTTTTTGTTTTGGACCCCAGAACTGCAGAACATATTCTAGGTGGGGACACATGAAGGCTACCTGTGGTGACCAAATGACCTTTTTTGACCAGTAGCCTATGGAGTGTGAAATGCATTCTAAAATTCAGTTGGACATCTTTGCTGCCAGGGGACGATGTCAGCTCTTGTTGAGCCTGATGCACACCCAAATCCCTTCAGGATGTCTGTACTTCTCAGGTGCTCAGGTGCACAACAAGTGTATCCCCAGTCTAAGATTAGAGCCTGAACAACACAAAACAAGGAAGGCACAGCAGGTGGAGTCCAAGGCTATAGAAAGAAGCAGTCAGAATGGTTAAGGCTCGAAGATGGTGATATCCTGGAACAAGGAAAATGCTCTTTCTTTAGTCACAGACATGCTGCTTCAGAAGAGGAATAATCCCCTGAGTATTGGGAAGAACAAATAAGATCCATCAGAAGTGGCTGAAGTCAAAACTTTTGATTGTAGGAAGAGGAAAAGCTATGTGAGACTTAAAGGAGACACCTCCTTTTGATGGAGGATTCTCCAGTTTGCTGAAGTGTTGGCTGTTTGATTTCCTTGGAAAGGAATGGCAACTCTAGTGCTGCAGAGGGGCTCCCAAGGCTCATATGCATATCAGTGTGTTACACCACACAGCTCTTCCACGTGAGTCTCCTTCCAGAAAGCAGTGACTTTAACCACCCCAGTAAGTGTTGGAAGGGCAGAATGGCTGGACATCAGGAATTCCGGAGATTTCAGAAATCAAAGGGAGACACCATTTATAATCCAGACAGCTGATGAAGTGATTGAAAGAAACTGTCTATTGGAAGTCCTCCTCACAAACAAGGAGAAACTCTTGAATATGGTATGGAGAAAGGACAGCCTTCACTGCAGTGACCATGAGTCTGTGCATCTTAAGAGAGGACTGACCAAAAGCAGAATTGCAATCATGGATTTCCAAAGAGCGTATCATGGACTCCTTAGGAAGCCATGTGGAAGAAGATGGAAACTGCCCTGGAAGGGAAACTGCTGGAGAGCTGGCTAATCTTTGAACCCAGACTCCTCAAAGCACAAGACAAGCTCATTTCATATCCACGCGTAATTATGAGACACCAGCATGCAGTCACACAGAGCTCCTCTCTGAGCTGAAGAAAAGGAAAAAAAAAAAAAAAGCTGAAAAAGAAAAAATACAAAATGTTAGCAGACTAACCATGAGTAACCCTGAGACACTGCTGCCCATGCAGGGAGGCAGTCAGAAACACCACAGCTCAGCCTAGTGAACAGCGTGCCAGGGAACAACAATGAAAAAAGTGTCCTTAAGTCCATTGTGGCAGCAAAAAGAAAGCTAAGGAGAGTGTATATCCATTGGACCATGAGAAAAGGGAAACAATTACAAGTAAATGTCTAACATAATTTACCCTTCTTTTTCCTCTGTTTTCATGAGAAGACATTCGTCAGAACAACAAGGTCCCCAAGATTCTTTCATAGAATCCATGGAAATTATGTATTACTCTCTATAAAGGAAGCAAACATTACGGAGCACTCAATCCAGTTGAACATGTGTGTCCTTGAGAAGGGTTTGGATGCATCCAAGGGCTTCGACTCAGTGATGTCATGGAGATGCTTCTCTATGTCATCTCTCAGATGTCATTCCATGACATCTGAAGGATGGCCTTTGCAGGTAGGAAGGAGTGAGAAACAAGAGGACTAATAAAGGGGAAGTGAAGGTGAAATAGACAGCATCCGATATTACCTCAACTATGAATTTTGGAGCATATGACTTTACATGCCATTATGAGACATATGAAAGACAGTAAAGTGATTCCGACAGGCCCCGGGGCGGAGCTGTCGGCGACGGGGTGGAGGCGCCGCGAGCAGAGCAGAGCAGAGCCGGCTCTGAAGGGGGCAGCTGGCGGCAGAGCGGCGGGATGCGGCAGTGCCGGGCCGCGGGGCTGGCGGGGCTGGCCGCGGTGCTCCTGGGTGCGCGGGGCTGCCGCCGGCGGGGACGGACTGCGGGGGCTGAGGGGAGCCGGGGGTGGCCGGGGACGCTCTCTCATCTGTCCGTCTGGCTTCTCTCCGACAACTTGCACCTCTCTCTGCTCCTACATGAAAATTCAGTGGGAGAAAATGGATTTTTTGAGTTTGCTGCTTCTTTTCTTCTCGGCAGTGGCTGTGAGCAGGGCGCAGGTGCAGCAGGAGCCGGCGTCAGAGACCAGAGAAGGCATCGGCATCAACATCACCTGCTCACACCCCAGTATACTGTCCAACGACTACATCCACTGGTACCGTCAGCTCCCAAGCCGAGGACCCGCATTCGTCGTGAACGCTTTTAAAGGATCCACGGAGGTGCCAGAGCCGGAGGGGCGGCTGTGGGTGTCGGCAGACCGCCGTTCCAGCGCCCTGTGGCTCGCCCGGCCCCGGCTCGGCGACGCGGCCGTGTATTACTGCGCCGTGGGCACACGGGAAGCGAAGCCGGGGCTGCGGCCGGGCACGAACCGCTTTGGGCGGGGCGGGGGCACAGTGCCGTCCGGGCCCGCAGGGGGCGCTGCCTGCATGGCCGCCAAACTCCATCCTGACAGGGTGCACCTCGCTGAGTTCTCGAGAAAAATGAACACCGCACCCATAGCAGCCTCTGAAGCCAATTTTGGGTAGACAGAGTTGCGTTTGAGGTGGTCAGGACAGCAAAACTGTGTTTGACATCAGAGTGACATCCCCGCAGTTCTATTCCATCTCCTACTCTCTTGTCCTTCCCCAGTGCAGCATATATGAGAGCGGTCCGAGCACTGTTCACAAGAACCTGTAGGGTTGCTTGTTCCCGTGGCCTTCCACACAGTCACAGCTTTTCCTGTGAGCACTGCAGAGGCTGTGTTCTCTCTCTGCCCTCTACCTGAGAGGGCAGTTGTGTGCAGAGACACTGCAAGTCAAAGACCTATAACCACTTGTTCGGTCTTAGACAGGGATTTCTCTCCTACAGCTGAAAAGAACAGTGCCCAAGAGAAGACCCGCTGAATTGCTTCACAGCCTCCCATTCTTCTGGGAATGGAGAAGGGTCTCCATATGCACTCATATTATAAGCACCAAGAGGAAAGCCATTCTCCCTGGGCAGTCCTCAAGGCCATACAAGGTGGAAAGGAAAATCAAAAGCTCAAATGAGATGCAGAAATCTTTAATGAATGTTTACAGAGGAAAATGAAGTCACACTGAGCAGAGGCTCCACAGTGCAGGATTCACACAGAACCAAGTCTGAGCTCAGGCAAGGCTTGTGCCTGCCTTTTTGGAAGGGAGCAGAATGGTTCTGAGGAGCCTCGTAGCCCATAGGAGATGAAGAGAGGGAAAAAAATAGAAAATGGAAATAAAGGGTTCAGTAGAGGACAACACAAAGAGACATGAGCCATGTTTTGAGAAAGCATGGGATTGCCTCTTGCTCTCAGCATTTCCTAGAATATCCGAATAGAGTCAAGCAGGGGCTTGAAGATTCCTTCTTAATCCAGCATCACGTTCGTGGCTTATGAAAGAATTTCTGCAGGACCACGGCCAGCGGCTTTAGCAGGGCGGGCACCTTCTGCCGCAGTAGCGGCTGCCCAAGCCGGACAAGTCCAAGCCCCCCGAGCTGATGGGCACGCCCTCAGAGCTGAGGATGCTGCCAACAGCAGCGGAGGTGGAGGAGCCCACGACGGTGTTCTGCGGGAAGGAGCTGAGGATGGGTCCGGGCAGGGTCACCACCACGGGAGAGGGCTCGATGACGATGGTGGAGTTCTGGCACTGCCTGACACAGGGCTCATTGCAGCTGCTGGCCAGAGGGGTCGGGCCGCAGGGCCGGCATGGCACACACTGGGTGTAGCAGGACATGTCTTGGGACTGGCGGTAAACCTAAGAGAGATGGATAGAAGGAATTATAGAACGAGGATATGTGAGGGACAGCCAGGGTAGGCTCTCACAAAGGAGACAAGGCAACAACTAAGGATGAAGGTAAATGCTGAGAAAGGAGGTCACATCCCTTCAGTATGCCAGGACCCTACAATTACGTGTCTGACCCAGAGAGACTCTCTTTGAGTGCACAAATCTACAGCCATATAAGTAGTGTCTCAAGCACCCCCTGAGCAGACATTATCCCCTCTATGGTCTCCCATAGCATGGAGATCCACTATCTGATAACATTTCTATTGAGGCAAGAGGCACTTACCTGGTTTCCAACGAGGAGAAGGCAGGAAAAGTGGATGGCAGAGATGGGAACTGGGCTGCCTTTTATAGTGGTCCTTCACTGCTGCAGGTCCACAGGCACAGTTGACACAGGCACTAATTTTCTGACTAGCTAATCTTCAATGCAGGCTACCCCTTCTCATTATGTGGGCTGGTTTAT